AGGATGTAGTGATGGCTACTAGCTTCAGAGGGTATAAAAAATAATTAGGCAATTTCATGGGAAAGAGGACTATCAGTGATTTAAGGAAAAGCACTCTGGATATCCTATTAAAACAATAATAAATGTACCATTTCCAGCCTTTTTGAGCCAAAGGTATCCACAACCCTTGGACCAATTTTTTTGCCCCCAAGGCATTACTAGACAGCCACTTAGGCTGGCGGGTTTATAGGGTAGGGAAGTACATGAACATGTGCTCTGGTGGCTCTTGATGATTTGTTCTTAAGAGAAGCCCATTTGAGTGGCAGAGAGCAAGCATCTTTCTATCCTTAAGGCTTGTGACATATTTGTATCCAAGTCTCCGACCAAACAGAAACATTTGCAAAATGGCCTCCACTAGCAGAGTTCTCCCTTTTTCTCACCGCTAGGGGGAGCTCTGGCATCTTGGATTGGGTGAAAAGTGTGCTGTTGTCCACTTCTTTCAGGAGAGATTAGTCAACACCTTCTACAGCCATCAAAAAGGGTCATACACAGCAGTGTGCCTTTACAGCCCTGATATCCTCACAAACCAAGGTTGCTTCCACTCTTGGACTGTTGACGATCTTTTTTTTTCAAAAATCCAGATTTCTATATGGCCTTAATGTAACAGTATATTCCCTATAAAAATTTGGCCCTTCCCATCTCCACGGACAAGACCTTACTTTTACTAAATCCCCATCATCAAAGCTCTGGCTTCTCCCGACAACCACCCCTTTACATTCTGTTTCTTCCGTGCTTTGGTTCACAGTGCAGCATCTGCTCCATTCTTCATCCATTACTTGCTAGTATCGCATGGGACTCAGTGCCACGTGGTGTAGCATAGGAGGCCTGAAAGTTGGATTAGAGTAATTCTTGGAGAACACTTCCCTCAACGGCTGCAGCCAAGATGGCTAAATGGAGCCTCTGCCTTCAGAGGCAGTATACCAGTTGGGGCACCTCACCCCTCAAGACAGAAAAAGAGAAGACGTACTCTGGCCCCAAGTGACAGGCTCCATGGTTCACGTGGAGTTGCCAGTTCTGGGTTGTGGAAATGCCTGGAGACTTGGACGTTGAAGCCTGGGAGAGTGAGGTTTAGGGAGGGACCTTGGTAGGGTTTTAGTGCCATGCAGTCTGCATCCCAAAAAAGCCATTTATTCCACTTCTGGAGAAAATGTTTTCAATAAATAAGCAATGTATGTAGTCTGGGGATCAGCTGTAACTACAGATCTGCAGGCCCCACTTGGAGGTTAGATAAACATAAAGAAACCCTGTGTTAGAACAAAACACACTCTTACTAATATGCACTTGTGTCTTCGTATATGGATTTAAATACAATAGAGACCCGGAGAAGCTCTCTATAGAATTGTTGACATGTGCACTGTAGCATTCTGAGCTAAAATATGTCTGCCTGAAGAAGCATCTGTCGAAACACGCAATTTTTGCCTGGGAGTCGTGTCACTGAATCACTTTATGCAGAGAACATAACAGCCTGCTGCATCTCTCATCATTTACAACTGTTGCAACCAATGTTCCCTCTAAGCTGTGGAGTCTTGTGAGCAAAAATTCTACTTTGTGAGCCACTGGCATTAAAGTTGTGAGCAAGTGATTTGGCTGCTGTATAAATTAGTTTGCTCTGGAGCCCTCCTTCCTGAGCGAAGACAAAAATGTGTGAACTGGAGGCTAAAAAACTGTGAGCTAGCTCACACTAACTCAGCTTAGAGGGAACACTGGTTGCAACCTTCATCAGTCTCTTATCAGGAGCAAGATAGTCTACAGCATTGGAATAGGTCCCTGTAGCTGTGGACTTTTCTATTAGTATATGATGTTCTTTAGGTTTTTGTATTATAATGAATATATGTATAAGATACACTAGGGCCTCTATTGTATTTCAATCCATATACGAAGACACAAGTGCATATTAGTAGAGTATGTTTTGTTCTAACACAGGGTTTCTTTATGTTTGTCTAACTTTGCCGTGTTTCCCAACTGTTTGTTGCCCACTTGGGAGATTGGCAACCCTAGGCTCATGGAGAGAATGAACAGAAAAGGTCCTTCTCCCAAGTGCCCCTGAGCTGTGGAGAGCGCCAGCTTCTCATTCAAGGGGCCACCCCTGACAGGCTTCTCTCTTCCAGAGCAAGTGGACTTTTTCTACTTTCTGGACGCATGACATCTAAGCACGTGACAAATGCATTGATTAGGACTGTGGGTTTTTTTAAGATCACGAAGGATCAATTTGTAATGGCAAAACTCTCTAATATTTCTTATCCAGACGGGCAACAACACTCTAAATTTGTAGCAGCATGGTATCCGGTCTTTCAATCTATGGCTGAGCAAGGTATAATTCCAGTAAATTTACTATACAGACAAATGGGGCAATTTTAGGAAGCTAACGTATATTGGCTAAGTTAATAATGGTAAAGTAGCTGTACAATACGGCTCATTATGTTTATGGTTAAAGTATGGTTGAACTCCGTTAGTGTTCCAGTGTTTTAAAGGTGTTTTTTTAACATTATATAGTTAGCAGTTGTACCAGTAAATCGTTTACAATTTAGTTTTTGTATGACTCATGTTTGTACTGGTTTCTCTGTGTTAATAAAATAAAATTAAAAAACGAAAGCAGACCAGAATAAACATCATGCTTCTAATGCAGGATGGGGGGAAAAAATAAAGATCCTGAAGGAAGTCACCTAATGAAACCACTGGCCAGGAGATCCAGAACCTACAAAATAAGAGACCATATCCAATGCAGAATCAACCTGGAATTTGCTGGCACAAGAGACGGTGAAGGCAGCTGACCCAGATGGCTTAAAAAGGGATTACACAAAGTCTTGGGAAAGAAGGCTATCTGCAGTTATTAGCCATGATGGTGGAATGGAACGTCTGTGTGTTCAAAAGCAGTGTACCCCCAAATGCCAGTCACTCAGGAGACAGGCAACAGGAAGAGACATCTTTCATCCTCACCGTAATACTAAACTCAAGACTATCGATTCAGGAGCTCCACTCTGAATGACCGTTGAAGGAAGGGCAAATAGAGTCCTTGCCTTTATGCCAGGGTCTGGGACTGAAGGCTTATCAGTGGTGAGAGCAGGATGCTGCTGGTCTAGGTAAGCCTTTAGTCTGATCTCTCTGATAAAACTCCTCATGTTTATTTCCACCTCAGTCTTCTCCAAGCTAAAATTTAGTGTAAGCTCAAGGCTTACACACATGACCTTGTATGCACGGGTGACACATGTGAACCAGACAAAGGGATCCCCCCCCCCAAGTTTGACATCTTTCCGTATGCTTTCTGGTCAGGAGGGTATTATGGCCCACTTGCAAATGGATGGGGACATGACCTCATAAAGGTAAAGGTCCCCTTGCTCGAAAGCCAGTCGAATCCGCCTCTAGGGTTGTGGTGCTCATCTCCGTTTCCAAGCCGAAGAGCCAGCGCTGTCCGAAGACGTTTCCGTGGTCATGTGGCCGGCATGACTAAACACCAAGGCACACGGAACGCTGTCACCTTCCCACCGAAGGGGTACCTATTTATCTACTTGCAATTTCTTGCTTTCGAACTGCTAGGTTGGCAGGAGCTGGAACTAGAGACGGGAGCTCACTCCATCATGCGGCACCCGGGTCTCGAACTGCTGAACTACTGACCTTCCACAGCCTGCAGTTCAGCGTATAGCTTATCTAATCAAGACCTTCTAGGTAGGCCCATGTTGCCAAGGAGATCAGATTCAGATCAAAACAACAACACCACTCACTGGGGGATTCTGCATGTCAAAGAACCAAGGCAGGAAGGGTTTAGAGGTTTTTATTATTCACACAGAAGACTCTTTGAAGAGTCTTAAGTACAAAAAAGCCCAAACAAGAGACGAAAACTCACCAACACCTACTGCCATCCATTCAAGGCAACCGTTATAAGTTACAACAGCATTGTTCCCTGTTGCAGTCTTTAAAAAAAATGTAGTTTTTTCTAAAGGATAAAGCACTCTGATAACCACATCAACAAAACGATGAATGCAAACAGTTCTTTACAAGCAGCAATGTATTGGAGTGAACTTGAGTCAATATGACTTAAAAATAAAAAGGAGCATGGGGGGGGGGGAGGCAATGACCGAGGGCACCCAAGGATTACCCGCAGCCAGTATCAAAGACTAACCGTTTTGGTCCCCCCAAGCACCTTTTGCTTAACCGGGACAGAGCACACCATTAGATTTAGCAAGGAATTATACTTTTTACAAACACCACAAAAGCAGCCTACGTCAATATAGATATGGATTAAAAGATGAATTTAAAAGATGCAGATCCAGCTGTACCGTTCAGTGTGCTTGAGACAGCTGTGTTGGATCCCACAGGTCTGTTCCACTAGCTGCGGAACTTTCCTCTTTGTGCCAGAAGAAAGCACCACTGCTGCCTGCACTAATCCACAGAATCCAACCTGGTGGCAACTAGAGATGTGAAGGCCCGGAAAATAAACTGGGAAAATTAGGAAAAAACACGTTTTCCTCCCAAAGCCTTTTTTGTTGTTTCCAAAAAATTGGAAAAATTGATTAAAAAAGAAAAAAAAATGATTATGGAACATTTTATTTTAACATGATGAATAAAATACTTTAGGACAAGGTGTTCAAATATTTTCCAAATCATTTCTAAAAAATATGTATGGTATCAGTGATCTAATTTCTGTGCACTGAGGACAAGCAAGTCCTAGGTGATAACTGAACCCTCCAATGCAAGAACAAGATGCATTTCTTCCTTCAGGAGGTGCTATTGTCACAAGAAAAGGTTTCAGTTTTGTATTTGCACGTGGGTGGGTATTCTGTTTGTAATAATTGGCTACACTATATTTTTAATATGCTAGTTGTGATAATTTCATGCCAAGTAAAAATGTCCATAGTCATATTTTATGTTCCTAAAGTAACAGAATGACTTTCATTCTGGAAAAGAAAAAAGTGCTAATGTAGCATTTTTTTCAATTTTTCCAAAAATTTCAATTTTTTCCCGGAAAAAAACTGGGGGGAAAACGGTTTTCCGAGCTTCAAAATTTCCGGAAATCTTACATCTCTAGTGGCAACGAAACTGAAGGGCACCCAGCAGGGTACATCTCTGGCTGCGCTTCTCTGCTGCCTAAAGGCTATTCAACTAGTGGGAGGTGGAGAGCTGTAGGTAACGCCGAAGGTGCATCACCAACGCCAGGGCAAGAATACCAGCCAGTTCACCCAGGCTCACCTTGGGCAAACTCTTATGTGATAACAACACAACAGCTGGCACTCTGCTAACCATTCTGATGGAAGCATTACCCAGTGGGGTCCATGGAAACCTCCAACTTTGGAAATGGACACCACACACACACACACACACACACAAACCCCAAAGGGGCCACTATCCTCGTTTACAATGAGAGCCAGTTCATGAGGGGGGAGCGCAGTCCACAGTACAACAGTCTTCAGCCTTTCAAGGTATGAAGCGGTGACTCTTTTCGAGAGGAAGGAGAGGCACAGCCCTCTCCTTAGCAGAAAACAACAACAAACCCACTGGAGAGTATTTAAATTTGTAAAAAAGCACCAAATCTGAAAGAACAGCCTCTCCAGCTGGCACTGCTCCCCAGTGGCCTTCATGCAAAAGCCAGAGCCCCGGAAGCCAGCTCAGCCGACGAACCTGAAAGTCTGCTTCCTTGTTCAGTCGCCTTGTTCAGTTACTCCCCCAAGTTGGTTCTCCCATCAGAGAAACTAGTCACCATAGTGCCCCGTAGGTCATTGCAAGGGACACCTCTTGGAAAGGTGGGCTCCTTTCTGTGGTCTTAACAGGAAGTCAGCAAAAGAGCCTGCGGAGCCCCCCACTGGAGCCAACGGAACCCGCCTCTCGGAAGAAGCGGAAATCAGAGGGGCACCCCCCCAGTCTCCTGAGTGACCCCGGGGGCTTTTAGGGTTCCACTCCCGGCTCCACGGGTTGGATCTTCATGGTGGTTGATTTCAGGGGGTAATACCTCCCTTTCCAAGTCTTCCAGAAGATGCCCTGCTTCCTCTCATGCCGCTGGCGCGGGATGGAGCGAAAGTATTTGCCATTCAGGTTGACATGGCCACAGGTGCTGAACCACCAGCCTCCTGCAGAGGACAAGAAGGGACCAGAAGTACATTAGCCCACAGAAATAAAAACAAAGAAGCATGGCAGGACAGGGACGAGCAACGGTTTCCATGAGGCTGCGAAGACAGCAAGGGTGGTACAGTAGTCAGAGTGACCAGGACCCAGGAGACTGAGCTCCGATCCCTGCTTGGGTGTGAGGCCCACCACTCCTTCAGCTGCCCTCACAGTGATCCCTGCTTGGGTGTGAGGTTCACCGGGGCCCACCACTCCTTCAGCTGCCCTCACAGCACTGTGTGAGGACAAAATGGGCCAAGGGAAAGTCGTGGAAGCCGCCCAAGAACTCCGTCAAGGAAAGCCAGGATACAAATGGATTGGACGGGCAAATGAGACAGACACTTTCCTGACTCTTGGCCATTTCTTTGGACGTTTGGTACCTCTGAAGTCTACCAAGCAGTGAACCAGATCAGACAAAAGGTTCATTCTAGTCTCGCAGCCCATTCCCAGCCATTCACAGAGGAAGCTTCTCTCTCATTTTGTCCTTTCAGTCCAGTTATTCAGGGGTACACTGTCTCTGAATGGGGAAGTCCCGCTGAACATCCATAAGCTAAGAACTGTCGATTAGGTCTCTTGTATAACACAGAGAGCCTTGCATCTGGATCAGACCAAAGGTCCGTCTAGTCCAGCATCCTGTTTCCAACAGTGGGCACCATGTGCCTCCAGGAAGCAGACAAGCAAGGCATCACAGTATTCCCAGAACGACTTATTGTTACAGGTAAACTGCCTCTAAACATGGATGTCCCATTTAGACAATCCGGCCCATGGCTACTGAAGGAACTCTCCTGCTATAGGAATTTATCTAATCCTCTTTCAAGGCCATCACTACAACCCATGGCAGCAAATTCCGAAATCATGCACTCTCTTTATAACTTGTCACCAGCTTCAGAGAAAAAAATAATTTCACTGCCTCCTCCCCCACCCTCTTCTATAACATGAGTCCAGCCCAATTTTAGTCAGCAGGGAGCTATTCATCTGCATTTGAATGTTATCCACAGGGAAACAAATTAAGATTTTACATCATTCAACATCCACAGAATTCGACATCCTCCTCCTATATGTCACTTATACAGCAGAGAAGCTTGGCTTCCTACCACAGCTTTGATTTTCTTAAAGTTTCTAATCCTGAAAGTAGTGTCAGATGTTCACAAACAAGACTGGGAGTGTGTAAAAACAAAAAAAGCTCTTTGCATGAACCCCAGTCCAGCATCCATAGTTCCCTTTCTTCCCTCCTGTCTACTTGACAGCTTGCGGGCCAATTACTGTAACCAAATCAAGGGCATAATTTTACTGGGGAAGGGAATAAGCACCCATTACTGAAACTGACCTGAGAGATGCTTGGCGCAGTTAGCATCCCCCTTGAGGTCGTGGTCCTGATCCCGGGTAGAGAAGGGCAACTGGGGGAAGTCACCCATGGCATTCTCCAGTTCTCCAAGGACCGGACCCAGGAGGCTAAGCGTGTAGGCAGTGTCTTCTCCACCCAGTCTGAAAAGAAACTGGACCAGCTGGGAGTTCCCTTCCCAGTCCTGCATCTCAATGACGAGACGGAACATTCCTTCTTGTACGACCTGGTGGATCTTGTCCAAGCCCAGCCAGAAGTCTCCTGGAAAGAAACAAAGGGTAGACTAATTTAATGCGTTCAGCCATGTTTTTACTGGCAGTCATTGGAAGACCTTCTCTGAGTACACCCCACCATCAAAAGGCTCAGGGGTCTATCAGAGAGAGGGTCTGTCCTGCAGCTGTGCCCTGTCTGAGGGACTCCCTGCCAAGAGAGATTTGCCTGGCACCATCTTTGCCAAGGTGCAGCTGCATTTAGAAGGCTGTAATATCTGGTTGCCGGAATGGGGAATCATTCACTGCCTACCGCTCATATTTCCAAAGCCGTTCCTGTAGGCTTCCCACAGCTGGTCAAAATCGACAGATCCGTCCCAGCGCCTCTGAATTACTGTCCAGCCGCCACTACCTGCAGTCCAAAGAGAGAGACTTGAGTCGCAACAGCATTCCACAGACATACACTGGGCACTCAGCAATACCCCCTTTGTGGGGGGGAAACCCCCCCCCCCCCCAAAAATTTCTTGTCAATTTGTATTTGGGAGGAATCAACAAAAAAGAATCTAATCAGCAAAAAATGTGCAATGGCAGGAAGATGTTTGGCAGGCTGAAAGTCCCAGATTCAGTCTCCAATTAGAGAATCTCAGGTTTCAGCAAAGACTGGAGAGCCAGTTTGGTGTAGTGGTTAAGTGTGCGGACTCTAATCTGGGAGAACCGGGTCTGATTCCCCACTCCTCCACTTGCACCTGGCTGGATGACCTTGGGCAAGCCACAGTTCTGTCAGAGCTGTTCTCTCAAGAGCACTTCCTGTCAGAGCTCTCTCAGCCCCACCTACCTCACAGGGTGTCTGTTGTGGGGAGGGGAAGGGAAAGGAGTTTGTAAGCCACTCTGAGACTCTGAGTGAAGGGCAGGGTATAAATCCAATCTCCTCCTCCTCCTCTTCTCTGCTTGACAGCGGCTGCCAGACAGTAGAGGCAGGACACTGAGAAAGAATCAGGGGTCTGATATTATAAGGAAATTTCAGATAGTCCAAACATTGTGCTGGAGGGGAATGGAGACGCCTTCTAGGGGGCTTTGAACTTCTAGGGAGATTTGATCATAGGGAGGCATTTGGGAAGCCAAGGGAAAGCCCAAAATGATGAGATACGGGGGATGAGGCCCAGGGATGCAAGGCTTGCAGTGTTTACATACGGATGCCCAAAGTGTGGGGAACAAGTAGGAGGAGCCTGAATTTATAATCTGGATGGAGAGTTGTGATTTGATAGGCATTACGAAGACTTGGTGGGATGACTCTCATGATTGGAGTGTGGCAGTGGAGGGGTAGGAGCTGTTTAAAAAGAACTGCAAGAGGAGGAGGTGTGGCTTTGTATGTTAGGAAAGGGTATGACTGTCAGGAAAGACTGAATGATGAACATGACGGAATCCTCTGTGGAAAGCGTCTGAGTGAGGCTAAGGAATGGACGGACCAATGGTGTTGTGGCCGCAGTTTGTTACAGATCGCCTGATCAGGGAGAAGAGGGGGTGCTTTCACCTTGGGATAACTGGCTAATGTGTCCAAACAATATGAAGACCCCGAGCCAGAGGCAGAAAGGATTTTCAGCACCTAGTCAGTCTCAGTATTTCACCTCCAGCCCTGGAGCAAGGCAGGTCATATTCTCATTTTTAGACCCCTTCCGACAATCTCATGGTGGGGGTTGGGAGGTTTGAACCCAAACTCTCCAGCCTGGTGCCAGCTGCCCAACCGCTGCCCCACTCACCAGCACCCACCGCTCCCTTACCTGGAGTCAGATCACAAAAGACTCTGAACGTTTTGGAGCCAGGAGGCTGGATCTGGAACACCCCACTGCTTCGTTCTCCCTCCCGGAAAAGCTGGTGGCAACCTGTGGGGAATTCTGCAAGGGGGGGGAGGGGGAGAAAAGGGGTGCATCAGGCTAAGGCCCCGTGTGAAGCACTCGTCTTAAGATTTCACTAACACCCTTCCCAGGCAGGGAAAACTGTATATTTGCCACTCCCTTGTAAGGTAGGGCACTACAGGTCATCCACACAGAGAGATATATTATGCTCATTCGCATCTCTTTGTTCACACATCGCTACCGAAGACCTAGCAAGTTCACTGTCCAGGTTTGAACCCAACAGAGCCTCCACGTTGAGAGGGAGTCTGAAGAAGAAGAGGGGGATTCTTGCTTTTCTTCATGGCTGCTGAGCTCCCCAGAAGTGTCAAGTGGGATGTCTCGCCATGTCCTTTTAACACCAACCTACCCTCCTGAATATCCACTGGGTGTCAACAGCGGGCACGGTGTTATACAGAAGACCTACTTCTACATTGGGGCGGGGGGATTATCTCTTCGCCGTCTCAGCAACAGCACTGCAAAGCAGGATACACACAACTCTCATCCTTGTATTTACAGATGGACGGAGGGCATGAGGCTGGACACAGGAGGGGCGCACACACGGATGAGACTCGGCTCTGCAGCTGGATTCACATAAAGCCGGGTGGAGGCTCAATTTTCTGGTTCGGCTGAAGCCGCACCAGCAGATCTTATTAGGAATTAACTCCATCTTCTCTTATTAAAATTCTGGCCGTGTTCACAGCTCAAGTTTATCCTGCTGGCTTTTTAGCAAGTCATCATCATCACTATTTTTATTTATTTATTTATCTCTCACATTTTTATCCCGCCCTCCCTGCAAGCGGGCTCAGGGTGGCTCACAACAAGGGCATCAAGTGCCAGTATAAAACATTAAAATCAAAATAAAACAATCAGGTTAACATTAATACAGTGCTCAGTGGTATTATTGCTTCAGTCAAATCAAGATCAAGGCTTGAGAAGATTAACCCAGAGCCCATTTTGGCGGCACTGATCCATCACGGTACCGTAAAAGTTTTACATTGGGCCATCCCTCACGGTAATTGGTGGAGGGGGTAGTGGCGGCTCCTAATTAAAAGCCTGGCGGAAGAGCTCCGTCTCGCAGGCCCCGCGGAACTGTGAAATGTTTTAGGCATCCTGCAAAACCGGGGTGTTCTCAAGAACCCTGAGTGAATGTTTCCAGGGGGGAAAACCCCACTGGGCAAGGAAAAAGCAACGTGTGTGTGGGGGGTGTGGGGTGTGTGTGTGCGCGTGCAAATGAGAGATGCACCATCTCTGCACCATCCATCTGAGGAGGATCAACCTCGGCTGGAAGGGATTCTCTGTCCTCTCAAGCCCCAATAAGCTAGGGTGGCCCCAGAGACAGCCTGAAGAGTATTTTTGGGGTGCTGCTAACTGCCCAGAGTCAGTTGAGACAGCTCCCCCAAGCTGCCAAGCCCCTGCCTTGAGGGGATACCATTTGTCCACAGGCCTTGGCACCTTGCCGGTGCCGGGGTTCCCTGTGCAGAGAGGCCACCGCTGCTTGGCATCTTGCACCTGCCTGGACTCTGCTTCCGGGCAGGCCACTGGCTCCCAGCAAGACACTCTTTCACCAGACTGGTAAAAGTCCATTTGCCAGCGCATAAAGAAAACACATGCACCCCACACGGGCCCAGTGCACAAAAAAACAGAAACGTGGCAAGGGACTTTACCCCACGGCGAAGAACAGCCCCCACCACCTTCGCACTGCACAGGTGGGCGCTGGCCCCTCTCCCGGAGACAAAGACAGGCTGTGTGCAGCGGAAGGACCAGAGTCACCGCCAGAGCTCAGCGGGCTGGAGGGAATCGAGCCCCCCCCCCTTCCTGCCAGCTGCAATAAATTTAGAAGATATTCTCACAACAGCTGCCAGTGGCAGGGCGCCAGTGAAGAATGCAGGGCAGGGGAGAGGAGGAGGAGGAGGAGGAGGAGGGGGAGACACTCGAGTGTAAACATGAACTTTCCCCCAATTCCTCAGCCTTGAATGGATGAAGGCGGGGGCAGGAGGAGCGCATGAACACGCAGCAGTGCGCTGCCTGTCTTGCATCACTGCGGCTCTCGGGAGATGTGACCCATTCCACGCAAGCAAATGGGGCTGCTGGTAACAGCTGCCCGATCCTGGAGGGAGAATGACAAAAAGGCTACGTTTGAGATTCGGGGGTGGCAGTGATCCCTAAACTAGCTCCGTTCAAGGCAGCGGGACATTGAGAGTTTGGCTGCAGCGAATGGGCAAGATACTAGTCCTCAAGATAAGGAGATAAGCCCGAAACGTCTATTTGACCCTCACCCGCACCTCATATTGAACTGTGCTAAATTTTTAGCTGTAGCCCAAAGAATTCACAGCGATCAAGTATAGCAGAGTCTAAGAGGTTATGGGTAATTGAAGGGACAAACCACGTACATAAATCTTATTTCATATCACAAGAGTTTTAAAAATGTATAAGAGAATTTTAAAAACTGCTGCTATATACTTTCTGTGTAATCTATATGTTTTAGAAATGTTTAACGAATTTTTAAAATTGTTACCATTGTATTACTGACACAGTTAAAATATGGCTGCAACCAATTTGTGCTGGTTATGTACTGAATAAACCTGACTTATTAGTCCTCAATAATTTTTTTAGGAGTTATTTGGAGAATACTGACAGATCGATTGATGCCTGAACGTTTGCAGGGTTGGGAGGGGGGAATCTGTGGTTTCTGTTAGCCAAAGCTTTCAGTTAGCAAAAAACAGAATGGCATTAGAAACGAGTTTGTCCATCAAATTACACCACCATTTCACCCTAAACCAAAGCCTTTTTAAAAATAAAACCATGTCAGCCTTTTCCAAAACCCATCAACTTTACCAGGGACTTCACCAAAGACACATTCAATGAAGGCCATTTCCATGGAAAATGCACACTGCCAAGAGTCCTCTCCAGTGTTCCCTCTAAGCTGAGTTAGTGTGAGCCAGCTCACAATTTTTTAGCCCTAGGCTCACACATTTTTGTCTTCGCTCAGGAAAGGATGGCTCCAGAGCAAACTAATTCATGCAGTCGCCAAATCGCTGGCTCGCAACTTTAATGCCAGGAGCTCACAAAGTAGAATTTTTCCTCGCAAGACCCCACAACTTAGAGGGAGCACTGGTCCTCTCGTATCTCCCTCTAGCCCAAACACCAAGCTGCCGATTCTTCTCTTATCCTCAAGTTTCTCCCCCTTCCCAGCAACATCGACTTTTTGCTGATCCCAATAAATACTTACTGTATGCTTCATCTCCACACACACCCCATGAATCACCCCCTCCCCACACAGAGTCAGAGAGATTCTCAGAATACGATGTATGTGGCCGTGGGGGGCGTGTGTGGCCTATCCAGATATGAATGCATTTCCAGCATACACACTCAGCCTCCTCCTTCCCCCATCTCACGTCAGCACCTTGGGGGGGGGGGAACTAGGGGAAAGGGCACGTCTGCCTGGGAATGAGGAGGAGGAACACTGAACCCTTAAGGAGTGTTCAACTTTCACCCAGTTTCTTTGCATCCTGAGATTCCCCCCCCCAGCACTCCCCCCCCAATACAGGAATAAATTGGTCCTCCCCTTCTTACATACATGATCCTCCCCACTCAGTGTAGCCTCAGCACAAAGCATTCTTTTTTCCCCAAAGGACACTCATTCATTGGAAGAAGCTGCAGAGAGAATGGTTCTTTCTTCCGAAGAGAGATAGTGGAGACACGGAAGAGCCCCCCATTGAGAAAATGTGCCAAGGAGGGTCCCTGTGACCTTAAACAGAAATGGCTTGCAGCAAAATCCCCAACGCCTGTTTGGTTATGGAAAATCTATAGGGCTCTGTGAGCACAATTTGGAGCAAAGGTATTTAAATGCTTTCTTCATCTGCTGCCTTTCCACTGTTACCCCACCTCCCAAACCTTGCTTCCATCCCCTACATATACATTTGTGGGGACACACACCCACCCCAATCCTGAACGTCCCCTTTTCTTCTGCAAATTCTCTTCTCTCAAATTCTCCCCTCGTTTCTGCTGTAAAAATGCTCCAGGGTGTTTACTGGGAGGGGGCAACACCTCTCCTCCAAGCCCCCTCCACATGAGAGCATTAGTCATTTGGCAAACTGACCCGGAACAATTCCTCTACCTCCGTACTGCCTTTCAAGCCATCAACATACAATTTGATTGATTTGGGCATCTGTGCTGGTTTGGAAACAAAAGAAGAAAACGTCTTGAGGACTGGCACCTTCGCTTCACTATCGCCACAGCTACCACACCCTGTTTCAGAGGGGAGCTGTTGTACTAACCAGATGGGTTCCCACTCCACTCAAGATCACACACACACCCTTGGCAAATGCCACACACACACAATCTGCACAATTGACAACAGATGTAGAACTGAGCATCCCCTGCTTGCCGACAAATGCGTAACTCAGTTCAATGGTATGCCACAAATTTCCTGTCAGATTTTTACTTGACAATTCTGTAACGGGCTGGCAGTAGGCTAGGAAACTGCCCCTGACCTGTATCGTTCCAGCAAGATAAAAGAGCTACATGAACCCGGAATTGATTGCAGTAACAGCTTTACAACTTGTTTAGCACCTCTGGAAACGGTTATATGCTTTGAAGGATAAAACTTGGCTCTATCAGCTATGCATCTTTCAACACTACATAAGCTTCCAAGTTTTTCAGGAGAAAGGGGAGGGGAGACAGGACTTCTTCACCTAATGGGTAGTGGAACCTGTGGAACTCCCTGCTACAAGGTGAGGCTACTGGCTTATGACAGATCTCTTAAAAAACAAGATAAATGCGAAGAGATGCCTAGCAATGGCTATTATTCATGACAGCTTGGTGAGACCTCCAGGGTCAGTGGCAGTATATCTGTGATTACCAGTTGCTGGATCAGCCTTCCTGCACAGACTTCCCAGAAGTATCCCCTTGCACACAGATCTCATCCATCCCAGTTAATAAAAACCCACACACAAATAACATCACCTTAACCTTAACTCTGTCCTTACACCAGAAAGCGACAACTTGTTTGTATTTTCAGCTCATTAAGGTTGTTGTTTTTTTAATGCATCTTAGATCAAGGCCTGCTCTGGAACAAGGGGAAACGGTTGTGACCCATGCGCTCGGGAACGCGTTAAAAAAAAAAAGCAAAAAGCAGTGTCTGAGCATATGCAGTGAGCTTTTCTCTCCTCCTGCACTCTGTTAATCAGACATGTGCACACTTTGGGTTCGGAAGCAGGGCTGCGGAGTAAAGGACGTTTCTTTCAAGCACCTACTGCTGAGCAGCCCCCCGCCCGCTAGCCAGAATGTCCTAGCCTAAAAACAAAACAAAACAAAAAACACCCACTCCCAGCATGACCCGTTAAAGGGTCTCTTGTTGGAAGTGCTCCCTCTAAGCCGTGGAGTCTTGTGAGCAAAAATTCTACTTTGTAAGCTACTAGCATTAAAGGTGTGAGCAAGCAATTTCGCTACAGCATAAACTAGTTTGCTCTGGAGCCATCCCTCCTGAGGTAAGACAAAAATGTGTGAGCCGGAGACTAAAAAACTGTGAGCTAGCCCACACTAACTCAGCTTAGAGGGAACACTGCTCTCCTCGGTCAGAGTTCTTGGCCAGCCAGATGTCTCTTCTGCCCACAAACAGGGCGGGAGGCAACAGCCTTCCCCTGGCATTTTTATCCTCCCCCCTCCAGCATTTGATTCCTCAGAGGTAGACTGCCTCAGAACATGGAGGTTCCCATTCAGTGGCAGACCTGGGAGACTTTGCGTAGTTCCCCCCCCATTTTAAAGCCAGTGGCCGTTGTGCCTTGCAGCCCTCTCTCATGCCGCCCCCCCCACAGTGGGGTTCTCGGCAGCTCTCTCACTTGCTTTGAGCACAGCAGGCTCCCAGCCTTGCTCCATTACACCGCCCCCCCCCAATTCTTTGCAGAGTTAGCAACACTTCCCTCCCCGGCCAAATTGTTTTGGAATCCCAGCGCCACAGGGGTTGCATTACCTTTTGCCGACTTGGCCGGAGGCCAGCACAACTGCACACCACGTGGGTTCTGGCTCCTTTCTTTCCCCCCATTAACCCTGCCGCTCCCAAAAAAGAGCCCGACAAGCATCTTCACCTCTCACACAATTGGCTGAAGGCCAAGCAGAGGAAACAGCGGCCGGCTAGGACGAGAGAAGGCCTCAGCCCGCAGAATCAAGTTTCCTCAGCTCTCCGTAGCCACAGCTGGCCGGCCGGCTCCAGCTGGAATACCCGAAGCTGTGTCACAAAGGGGGGGGGGCTGCCTTTGTTTGGAGGGGCCCGGGCCATTCAGAATCCATCCCCGAGAACCAAATGTGGCTTCAGAAGGGACCCGACAAATGGGAGATGGGGGTAAGGCTCATCCATGCCTATCAGGATGACACAGCCGAACAAAACCTCCATGTTCAGAGGCAGTTTAGCTCTGCGCAACAGGGGGGAGCCCTGCTGACGGGCTCCTGAGAAACACCTGGCCGGTCAACTAATGGAAACCACGGACTGGGCGAAATGACCCGATCCACCAAGGCTGGAGCCTGGGTCAGTGTGCAAGCCGTTCGCGGCAGCTGCTTAACAGAGCCTCCAGCACATGTCTGAATGCAAGATGGTGGGGAGGCAGACAGGAAAGCTGATCTGTACATGCTTAGATGTGCTCTTTCTTCGAAAGAAAGGGGAAGGACTGTGGCCCAGTGGCAGAGCATCTGTTTGGCATGCAGAAGGTCCCAGGTTCAATCCCCGGCATCTCCAGGTAAAAAGGACCAGGCAGGAGGTGATGCGAGAGACCTCTGCCTGAAACCCTGGAGAGCCATGAAGTGGGGCTGTGGCTCAGTGGCAGAGCATCGGCTTGGCATGCAGAAGGTCCCAGGTTCAATCTCCGGCATCTCCAGGTAAAAAGGATCTGGCAGTAGGTGATGCGAGAGACCTCCGCCTGAAACCCTGGAGAGCGGCCGCCAGTCTGAGTAGACAAGAGTTACCCTGACAGACTAAGGGTCTAAATCAGTGGACAGCAACTCCCTATGCTTGTGTGTATTCAGAATTCCTCTGAACATGTACAGCGTGCCCTGCCCTCCTCCCACCACTGAGCAGCCACTGCGAGCACCCACTGATCCAAGCCTTCATGGAAAAACAAAGTGCACATAGTTGAGAGCCTTACCAGACGAACAAGCAAGACCCAGTTCCTCACTAGGTTTTAACATTTCACTCCCACACACCCCGGGGGGCACTGAGAGTTCAGTTGGACTGAATCCTGTGGGGACAAGATGCAGCCATGGAATGGCCCTGTCTCCGCTTCAATCCCTGCCCTCTCCGGTTCACTGGCTCTTCGGGTCAGAAAAAGACACGTCCCCACCAGGGACCCAGCCAGCCAGAGGAGGCAATACAGAGTGAGGAGAACCCAGCCTTGATCCAGCACAGGCCCGCTTCTTAGGCTCATCACACACTCCTCTTGTGCAAACCTATTTCTGCAACAGACCCCTTCCATCGCCAGACTCACCCCCCCCCCAATCTGTGGTAACTTGAATCCAGCACCCTCCAGCAGCTTCGCCAAACAATCTTCTTCTCTCTCTGCCAGAAACCTGCCTGGCTCGTTCGACTTTCCCCTCTTGCATTGCAAAATTGCAGAACGCTTTTCCAGGGTTACCCCACCCCACAGGATGCTGGGACTGCTCTTCCAGCCATCCTCAGCCCAAGTCACATCACGCACACCTGCCACAAATCCAAAAAGAAAAGGAGAGCCCGCCTTGTTCCGCTTTGCTACAAAGCAGCTGTGAGGCCAGCCAATTGGAGCGGAGATGGAATGCAGGCAGGGAGTCAAGGCCGATGCTTCCCTGCACCGATTTCCCAATGCAAAAATCTAATTTCACCCAATTTCTCCCGCCCTCAAAGCTTTCATTAGCCCTACAGGGGGGGGGGGAGCTACAAGTTACCACCTCATTTCCCTGCTAGCAAACTTCCAAGCAACGCCTGGCTGCATTAAAAGAGCACTAGGCTAGATTTCATCCAGCACTGGGGCTCATTGGGAGGAGGGGGTGACGCATGTCATGGATTATGTGTGCAAGAGGACACTGGGGATCGGGACCCATTACCTCCCAACCCAATATTCACCCCAAGTCATCCGCCACGGCACACACCCCCGGACATCAGTCACCAGCCGATCCAGCCACCGACTAATAGCAGTGGGACATGGTCCAGAGTAAATTTGTGAGATCAGGACAAATCTATTGCATTATTTTATTCTACCTGTCCCCTCGGGAGATCAGGGTCAGCGGTGGGCCTTGTAATTTTATTCCTGTGAGGTAGTCTCTGCCAAGCAAGAAAACATGCGCCTGTGTTTTTGTGACTGGCCCAAGGCAGACTTCATGGTAGGACAGGTTATGAAAACGACATCTGTCCTCAGCTATATGGTGTTCAGGAGCAGACCGTCTCTGAACCAGGAAGTCCCATTAACTGTCAAGTGTAACAGCTGTTGGTGGGTCTCTGTCCATTGCCTTAATCCTTTCTCGGCTGTCTCGTGACAGTCGAGCGCCATCCCTTTACATTCCCCGGCTATATGGTGTCCAAAGATAGACTGCCTTAAAACATGTAGGTTCCGTTTAGCCCTCCTAGGTAACATACCTCTATCAAGAGATGCTAGCCCACCACGCAGCCATGAATTCTGCCAGTTAATCCCATGAAGTGGGATCGGGTTTCCTGAACTGATGGGGAACTAAATTAGGACCGGGTGTGAGCGAATCGGTGGCTGGGATGGAAAATACTCCCTTCAGCCTTGGGAAAGTGTGCAACACGATTCCAAAACTCAGGCTCCCACAAACGTTTTGCAGCCATGCTGGGGGGGGAGGCAGGGGGACAAAAAGAGAAGACACTCACTGGAAGCCTCCGAAGTCTGGGCCCGGCTGTGATTGGCGGCTCGGTCAGCACTGCGCACAACACTGTTCTTCCAGCGGAGCGTTTGGGTTTCGTTTTCTTTGATGTGCATCGGCAATAACATGTTGACCTGCAGAACCCACACACACACACACAAGAAGAAAATGTGATGCGGCATTCCAAGAGGTGGGGGAGGGACAAAATGCACACCTTGGCGCCAGTGTTCCCTCTAAGCCGAGTTAGTGTGAGCTAGCTCACAGTTTTGGAGCCTCTGTCTCACAGATTTTCGTCTTAGCTCAGGAAGGAGGGCTCCAGAGCAAACTGATTGACGCAGTGGCCAAATGGCTTGCTCACAACTTCAATGCCAGGAGCTCATAAAGTAGAATTTTTGCTCACAAGACTCCGCAGCAGAGGGAGCATTGCTGGGCACTCTGACCTGGATATCCCAGGCAAGCCGGATCTCGTCAGTTCTCGGAAGTTAAAGCAGGGGCGACCCTGGCCAAGTATTTGGATGGGAAACCTCCTTGGAATACTCGGGAGGCAGAGGCTGTCTATCCAGCCACTCCTCTGAACATCCTCCATGCCCCAGTGGGAGTTGCCAGAGGTCACCATGACTTCCAGGCACGGGCATGCACACGAGAATGCAAAAAATACCCAACCCCCCCCACACACACTTTGGCCTGCTCCTTAGAATAATAAAACTTGTAAGCCTAACAAATATATTGAGCAACGATCATAAAACAGTACTATTATTATTGCTTCATAATATATTCTTTGTTCATGCTACTCCCAGTCATACTAACAGCACATGAGCACACTGTAATCCTCACCGGATCTCTGCAAGGTACGCCCAGCCTTTGTGACCCCTTGATGGGGACTGAAGAGGGAGGGCAAAGGCCAGCCAAGGGCCCTCCTGGCAAGTTTATGGCACAGACAAGGTTTCCTGGGGCAGACTTTTTAGCCACTCTACAATGAATAATCAAATACGGTACATGTCAAGGGTTCAAAGCACAACGTGCGTGTTGTCTTTTTTTTTTTAATAAATGTATTTATTGGATTTTCTATACAGTATTTTTACACCACTTAACAATCTCCAATAAACATAATAATATCAAACAAGACATACGTCTCATTAGCAATCTCCAACAACATAATAATATCAAACAGGGTATACTTCTCAACACATCTAGTTTAAATTTTATGTTAAATAGTGCTCTTACGCTGTTATCTTATGCTATTCCCTAATATTGCTACCTTAGCTCCCATTGGTTTCTATCTTCTTTATCTTCAGCCAGTTATATATTACTCCCCATTTTTCCCAATAATTTTCTTCCAGTCTATTTTGTAATTCTATATTTACTCTATCCATTTCCGCTACTTCCAACACCTTATACTTTAATTCCTTTATATAGGGTAAACTATTAGATTTCCACCTTTTTGCTATCAAGATTCTTGCCGCGGTTAATATATAAATAATTATCTGCTTACAAAGCATCCATTTTCTCCAAGGGAACTGATCTCTGTAGTCTGGAGATGAGCCGTAATTCCGGGGGATTCCCCAGGTCCCACCTGGAGGCTGGCATCCCTAGGAACTGCTCTCTGTCATCTGGAGATCAGCTGTGATTCCGTCCAGCAATCCTACTTCAGGGGAACTTCTGAACAAAATACCCGGAAATAGCCGCTTGAATGTCACAAGCATCAAGCATGGAAGTCAAGACGAACCACTGCAGCCGACACGTTGGAGGAAGCACCCAGGGTGCGTGGCCACGCTCTTGCACACTCCCCCTTCATTTCGTGTGCAAGAGACCTTGCGGGGGGATTGTGCCCTCCAACGACAAGAATCGTTGTAGCCCTCGATTGGCATCGCTCTGCAACAAGTACTTTTGGAGAGACTATTGCAAAGTGTTTGTTTTGAAGTTTGTCAAATGCGCCCACCAACTATTAGAGAGGGTAGTACAACATGCGCGTTGTCTGAGCAACTCGGACAACACCCTTGTAAGGTAGAAGAAGAAGAAGAGGAGATTGGATTTATACCCTGCCCTTCACAGAGAGCCAGTGTGGTGTAGTGGTTAAGTGCGCGGACTCTAATCTGAGAGAACCGGGTTTGATTCCCCACTCCTCCACTTGCACCTGTTGGATGACCTTCGGCAGCGGGGTGTGTGTGTGTGTGTGTGAAGCCGGCCAAGAGGCCTGCGACATAGCCCTTCGTGGCCTTGGGCCCTGATATCTGCAAGAGGGCCTCTCTACGTACATCCTGCTGCAACAGCTTTGCTCATCAGGGTAGGGACTTCCGCAGGAGCCATCCTACAAATGGGTAAGAGCAACAGCGGCCCGTATCGGTGCCGTCTCTGTCCGTGGCCCCAGCCCTGTGGCATGGCCTGCCTGGGGAGGTCAGGACAACTCCTGCGCTCCTGCCCTTTGGCAAAAGTGGGTAAAACAGAATTGTCCGGGAGGCCGTTTATGTCAAGGAAACAGGGCCACACGAACAACAGACTGGCCCAGGAAAACACACTGCATTTCTAGCACCACGTTTGGCACGGCCGTGCTCGATTCAGACGGCAGCTCCGTCTCAACCTCCTACCACTCCTCGCCCTATGACCTTGCTTTATTTAGATGGATCGCCCTAGTCATGGCATCGACTTGCACAGTGAGGAAGGTAGACTATCAATATAACATACGTAAGTCCCTGCAATGGAACCCACTGTTACCGCCCCCCCCCCACAGCAAGAAGGAAAAACATGACAACAACTCTGCCAAGTAGGTCAGTGTTATGGCCCCCATCTCCCAAAGGCCGAGGCCACCCAGCCAGCTCCCGCGGAGGTGCCAGATTCAAACAAAGAGCTTCCCAACACACATCGCTCCACCTCTCAGCCACCACAACACTCCCCGGGGCTCTCCCTGGACACAGCTCTGCCGGTTAGCCAAAACACATCCAGAACACTTACATAACAGAGCTGTATTTACAACCCTGGCGAAGCAGGAATCTCGCCGGGCAGGTCTCCGAAGAACACAAACAAGCCACGTGCCTGGAGGCAGGAGACATCAGTCGTCTCTCCCCCTCCTTCTGGGGTACAGCAGCTGAGCCCTGACTCCTGGCATCCCCTCCCCGGTCAAGACTGTCAGCTCCATTCACCAAGAGAGGGAAAACAGAGCCTCCATTCTCCAGAGCAGTCTATCTCCACTGTCGAGGGGGACAGCCTGCTTGGGGTATCTCACTGGCTGTGGGACGTTAGAACCCACAGCTCCCACTAAGCGGTGGAGTCCTGAGAGCAAAGACTCTACTTTGTGAGCTGCCGGCGCTGAAGTTGTGAGCAAGCGATTTGGCTACTGCCTACTGCTACTCTGGAGCCCTCCTTCCTGAGCTAAGGCAAAACTGTGTGAGCCAGAGGCTAAAAAACTGTGAGCCAGCTCACACTAACTCAGCTTAGAGGGAACACTGGTTAGAACTAGATCGACCTTCAGTCTGATCAAGCATACAGAAATCAAGCATCTAGGAACTCATTTGATTAATCCAACAGCAGTCCTTAACTGCGATTTAAGTTTTTAAATGGATTTTATTGTTTGGATTCTATCTGCATCGTAAGTCAGCTTGAGCTCTGTATCGAAGAAAGGCAGCTAATGTTTTCAAAAAATAAACAGCAGCTGTTAGCCATGGCAGCCAAGGAAGCCTCCAGGTACCACACCAGTCTAACTGGGGACAACACTGGAGGAAGCCCATTCCTTTGGGCAGCTGGGCAAGCATAGCGGCTGAGAGGGGGAGCCATGACCAAGGACGACCTTGGGGTGAGCCTGTCCCCTGCTACAAACTCATTCGGGGGAGTTTGACACACAGACACACCCTCCCCAATCCATACCCGGCAGGCCCTCACCTTGCTCTGAAGGCTTTTGATCTGAAGGTTCTGTTTATCCATCCGGTATTGCTGCTGTTTAAGTTTCTGGAAGAGCTCTTCCATCCGCAAGTTCTGGCGACTCACAATATCCTGGAACCGTACAAAACACACAGGCATATTAAAGCCAGAAGAATGGGCGGGGGGGGGGGGGGGGGGGGGCTGTGCAGAAGAACAGAGAGAAAATTTCAAATCCTTTCCCACGGGGACGCAAGGCAAATGACACGGAGTGCGTGCGTGCGTGCCATCGACAGAATGGAGCATTCGATAAGCAACGAAACAAGATTAGGATTGTAGAAATCAGAAGCATTTTGACACATAAAACCATGCAAAAATGACACTGTAACATCCTACTTACTTAGCCCTGATCTGAAGAGCCCAGACGAGCCCGATCTCGTCAGATCTCAGAAGCTAAGCAGGGTCGACCTTGGTTTATACTTGGATGGGAGACCACCAAGGAAGTCCAAGGTCGCTACGCAGAGGCAGGCGATGGCAAATTTCCTGTTAGCCTCTTGCCTTGAAAACCCATTGGGGGGAGGTTCACCATAAGGCAGCTGTGACCAATGTTCCCTCTAAGCTGTGGAATCCTGTGAGCAAAAATTCTACTTTGTGAGCTCCTGGCATTAAAGTTGTGAGCGAGCGATTTGGCTGCTGCATAAATTAGTTTGCTCTGGAGCCCTCCTCCCTGAGCTGAGACAAAAATGTATGAGACGGAAGCTAAAAAACTGTGAGCTAGCTCACACTAACTCAGCTTAGAGGGAACAGTGGCTGTGACTAGACAGCACGTTCCACCGCCACAATCCTACTTACAGCGAGTTATACGCAGCAGTATAGACCACGGCTCCTACACGTGTTTCCACGGAACTCTGTAAACCATTTTGTACAGCAGGACAGAGTTCAGCGGCACCTCTAAGACCAACAAGCCAAAGGGCTAATTAAACAAAGAGTTGAGGATACTGAGCGTCAATCTGACATCTTTAAGGCTTCCAAACTCGGGGTGTTGTTAAATATCAAAAGCACCATTGAGCTGGTGATATATTTGACTTCAGTGGAGGGAAAGAATTCTAGAAGGGCATTTGCCCTAGCTAGATGTTCTGCCCTTCCGTCTGCGGTTATTCAAGGCAGGTACAACAAAAAACCCTACTCTGAAAGGCTATGGTTGAATTGGCAGAGCCTATGTTCTTCAGCTGTCCATTTTACAGGGAGGCTGGTCTCAAAATTATTACCCCATTAGTCAATAGGACACCTGGGAACATTAACACAAACAAAGCAAGGCTTCACTGGCTCAGATAAGAATGCAGAGATTACACATTCAGTCGCTGAGTTCTTAGATTGCCGGAATCGCATTTTAAATGTTCTTAAATTCAGATTTCTATTTTTGTCTATTATGACTGTTTTTTCCCTCTCCCTCACATGTTATGCTTACTCTGTATGCTGGTCTTAAGACCATCATAACAATGATAATAAAAAAGACCAACAAAGGTTTATTCAAGGGATGATCTTTGTGCACACACTTTTCCAAATACGATGGAATGGGAGGGAAGGTTCAGACTTACAGAGGGGCTGAACAGCAAATTAACAGGTAACACGAGGAAGATGTTTTAAGGCAGGATCCTCAAGGTATGATCCATTTTGTACAGTGCAGCCTTACTGCCTGTGTAGAAAAGCCCTCTCCAAGATTCCGTTTTGCATCATTTGGAGAAACCTGGGAGTGCCTACCTGTTTTGGAAATTCGTACTTTAGACAATTGGTAAGATCAGGATCCTGCAGTTAGGACAAGGCTTTGCTCACTAGCACACACAAAGGAGGGCTGGATCCACAGGGCCGATCATCAACCTTGACAAGCATTAGCCGATGTCATATAATATACAAACTGGATTAAGTGATTTTTCAAAAGAGAGTGAATTTTGGACAACTCAGTCTGGGGGCTCCTGCTTTGCAGACAGCCAGCACGGGGCACTTCGCTCGCAGTCGCACAGGCTCCTCGGCACCTCTGGAGGCAGATTTTTGAAGGCAGCCCGCCAGCATCGGTGCCAGCCCAGTGCCCGGAAGGTTCGAGCCCTCCGAGGAGCTGGGAGTGCACTCATTCGTCTGACAGCACGCAACTGCTATTGCGCCGGCGAGGGAGGTCACCGTCCTCGAAAGGCGTGAAGAAGCTCGGCTTGCGGAGGTGTCTGGAAACCAGCAACGCCCCACAAAAACCCCGCCTGAACATCGGGTGTGGATTTTACTTTCGGTTTCACTCTCGGTGTTGTTTGCAAGCCCTGAAAGGGGACGAGCCATTTGCACAAGCCGGGACCGGTGAAAACTCACGTCTCGCTATTAGCCGTAGCGGCTCGGCTAGTTCCCCGGAGAAATGTTCCCTGCAAGGGGGCCGGGGGGGGGTAATCCCCTCAAAGCCCTCCCAGTTCTCCCTTGTGAGGCAACCCAGGAAGCAATGTTCCCTCTAAGCTATGGAGTCCTTTGAGCAAAAATTCTCCTTTGTGAGCTACTAGCATTAAAGTTGTGAGCAGATGATTTAGCTACTGCATAAGTTAGTTTGCCCTGGAGCCCTCCTTCCTCAGCTGAGACAAAAACGTGTGAGCCAGAGGCTAAAAAACTGTGAGCTAGCTCACACTAACTCAGCTTAGAGGGAACACTGCCAGGTCCAGGGGTGGACAGAGAAGCCTTCCAGGCAGGACAACTGTAGAGTCCCGCGGGGCACCTTTAGGGCTTCTTCAAAGGATGCGCTTTCGTGTGCAAGGCGCGCTTTCCCAAAGGCAGGCAGGCAGGCAGGCAGCTCGCCCTCTTCCATCCCTCACGCCTCCTTCGTCCACCACTGCCGCCCCTCCGCCCGCCTCCGGCCCACACCTATTTGCCCGCTCCCCTCACCTGCAGGGCGCCCAGCTCGCCGGCCCCTCCGCTCCGTCGGGGGCTGCTGCTGCCGTTCTCCGGGTCGCCCTGGCGCAGCGCCTGGCGCAGCTTGCCGTCGAGGCGCTCCAGCCGCTCGTGGACGGCCGCCTTGTGCGCCGTCAGCTCGGCCAGCAGGGCCCGCAGCTGGGCGGCCAGGTCGGCGACGCGGCCGTCGAGGAGGC